GATTCGGGGCGCTGCCTCCCGCCCCGACCCCTGCCGGAGAGTCTCCACCAACTTCTGCTCGGCCGCTCCTCTCGGCCCCTTCCCTTGGCCCAGGGCGACCTAGGCAGCCCAGACGGCGTGGACGCTCCGGAGTGCCCAGAAAGTCCCCGGGGTGGCCCTGCGCGTCCCGGCTCTTTCTGGATGGAGGTGCCTCCGGAATGAGCCGGCTGCACGCCGTGGCCTTCACCTCGCAGCCTCTGCTGACCACACCTCCCTAGCGCAGAGGCTGCCCCGGGAGCAGGAAATGCTCCACCAGGTGAGGCCCAGGGGGTCGTTGTCGCTGGACCACCGGGGACGCGTCCCTTGAGAGAGTTTGGACTGGATGGCGCAAGTCGGCCTGTTTAGGGGAGAGGGGCCCGTTCTGCACGGGCCAGGGTGGACCCTCAGGGGCGCCTGGGCACAGGGCCAGGCCGTGGGTGACAGTGCTCTGGACACCTGCCTTGCCTGGGAGCTGGGGTAGCAGCTGACACACGTGGCCTGCTGGTGGCCTTCTCAGAGCAGGCCAGGAAGGCAATAGAATGGAAGGGGCCAGGCGCGGTGGCGCACTCAACCAACACTTTGGGAGGCCAAGACAGGAGGATCACCTGAGGCCAGGAGTTCGAGACCAGCCTTGGGCAACATCGTCCACAATATAAAAAAAAACCATAAAAATTAGCTGGGTGTGATGGCGCACACCTGTAGCCCCAGCTACTCGGTAGGCTGAGGCAGGAGAATCGCTTCAACCAGGGAGACGGAGGTTGCAGTGAGCCAGGATCGCTGCAGTGAGCCAAGATCGCTGTACTGCAGCCTGGGTGACAGAATGAGACTCCGTCTCAAAAAAACAAAGTATTAAAAAGGAGGCAGGAAGGATGTTGATGGACAGTCACTCTTAGGCCCCAGAGCTCCCCACCCTAAATGTCCCTTTGGTGACTCTAGCTTTCCTCCCTTGTGAAGGGCTGACACCCACAGTTGTGTCTCAGTGGGGCTACCCCACTCTCTATCCCCCTGTGAAAAGTCAGGAGAGGCAGCTCTGCCTCTGTGCAGGTGACAGCCTCCGTTGCTGGCTGCCACCTCCCCAGCCCTGAACCTCCGGGCTGCCGGCACTCCCGGTTCCCCACGGCGGCCTGGAAAGTCCTGTAGTTGCAGCAGGGGTGGAACTGACCACTCTAGGTGGCCTGAGGCAGAGGTGGAGGGCCTTTGGGGGCCTGTGGCACCTGGCAGGAGCTCAAAGCACTCCCGCCCATCTAAACCGCTTCCTTCCTTTCAGCACAGCTGACTCCCGGGAATCCGGGTCTGACCGCCAGGATGGAGGTGGGGCCAGCCACCGAGACCTTCGTGCTGGAACTTCGATGTCTTGAAGATGGGGGCCCAGGGCCTGACACCCTCTCAGGTGAGGGCCTGGGGGAATCCCTTGACAGAGCCCCATACCTGCCTGCCATGGCAGAAAGAGGCCCAAGAGTGGTGGGCAGCCTGCACAGACTCACACTAGCCAACCTCAGCTGCATTGAGTAACACCAGCAGCTCTGCCTTGAGATTTTCCAAGGTGGCTGTGTCAGGCAGGCTGAGGCCAGGCTGGTGAGGGGCTCCCCAGTCCCCACATGAGTGCTGACTGGACTCACACTCACAGGTGCGTGCTGGCTGGAACTCATTGCTGTGTTTCCTGGCAGCCAGGGGGCCTCCACCATCCTCACCACACCTGGCTCCAGCTCCTGAGTCAATTTCCACTCAATTTCCCAGATCCCATTCAAGTACTGATAGGCACTCTTCCTCTGCCCCTCCTGCCCCCGATGTTGGCTCTGTGGCTTCCTTCCAAGACCTCTTCCTCTGGGACCCACTCTCGGCAAACCTTCTCTGGTGGCCACACTCATGAGAGCCAGTTTCCATTCTGTGCTTTAAGGGTGCTGAGTGAGGGCCTGGGGCAGGGCGGGACAGAGCTTGAAAAGGACCAAAGGAATTGAAGGGGTGGGATGGGGACGTGTGGAGTCAAAAAGGACCCTTCTGACCAGGCGTGGTGGTTCATTCCTGTAATCTCAGCACTTTGGGAGGCCAAGGCGGGCAGATCACTTGAAGCCAGGAGGCAGAGGTTGCAGTGAGCCAGGATCGTGCCACTGCACTCCAGCCTGGGCGACAGAGCAAGACTCTGTCTCAAAAAAAGGAAAAGGAAAGGAAGACCCTTCTGACTTGTACATTTAGCTGATGAAACTTTGAGAAGGTATAACATGTCAGACAACATTGAACTAGATGGTCACTAAAATGCCTTTGTTAAAAATGCTGAGGTCAGGCACAATGGCTCATGCCTGTAATCCCAGCACTTTGGGAGGCCGAGGCAGGTGGATCGCTTGAGCTCAGGAGTTCGAGACCAGCCTGTGCAACATGGCAAAACCCCATCTCTACAAAAAATTTAAAAAATTAGCTAGGCATGGTGGTATATGCCTGTAGTCCCAGCCACTTGGGAGGCTGAGATGGGAGGATCGCTTGAGCTTGGGAGATTGAGGCTACAGTGAGCTAAGATTGCACCACTGCACTCCAGCCTGGGCGACAAGAGTGAGACCCTGTCTCCAAAAAAAAAAAAAAACCTGAAATTGCTGCCCCAGGGAGTCAGAGTGGCCTGTGGTCAAGACTGTGCCAGCAAAGAGGAGATTCACACAGGTACAATCTGTCTTGTTGCTCCCAGAAGGGGTGGGAGAAGGGAGTGCCCCTTCTCCCACCAGTGGACTTGCTGGGGGGACAGTTTTCACCCTGTCTTCTCCCACCATGTGCTTCCCCCCAGCTGATGTGAGTGTCTATGAAAAGCACACTCATGGATCCATTAGCCAAACCAAAGGTTATTAGGAATATTTTACTAGAGGAAATTATATGCATGTAGATCTCCCTTGGTGGAAATTTTTTTTTTTTTTTTTTTTTTTTTTTTAGACAGAATCTTGCTCTGTCGCCCAGGCTGGAGTGTGGTGGCCGGATCTCGACTCACTGCAACCTCCACCTCCTGGGTTCAAGCAGTTCTCCAGTTCTCCTGCTGCAGCCTCCCGAGTAGCTGGGACTATAGGTGCATGCCACCATGCCCGGCTAATTTTTGTATTTTTAGTAGAGACAGGGTTTCACCATGTCCCTTGGTTCTTTTTTTGTTTATTTTTGTTTTTTGTTTATTTGTTTTTGAGACGGAGTCTCGCTGTGTCACCGGGCTGGAGTGCAATGGCATTATCTCAGCTCACTGCAACCTTCGCCTTTCAGGTTCAAGTGATTCCCTGGCCTCAGCCTCCCAAGTAGCTGGGACTACAGCGCATGCCACCACACCCAGATTTTTTGCATTTTATTAAAGATGAGGTTTCACCATGTTGGCCAGGATGGTCTCGATCTCCTGACCTCGTGATCCACTTGCCTCAACCTCCCAAAGTGCTAGGATTACACACATGAGCCAACGCGCCCAGCCATCCTTTGATTTTATTAAATCAACATATTCCTGGAAAAGTGGCCAGAAAGCATTGCCTTCCATTACAAAATGGAAAACATATGATGTTATAGGGAGAAGAGATATTGAAATCAGATTTGGGAATAGAGAATGCCTCCTCAGGTCACATATAGGAAGAAGAATTGGGATTTTCCAATAGCACAATAGTAATACTCAAAATGAGAAACTCATGGTGGACATGGTGTGGAAAGAGAAGCGTAGTAACGGAGTGGTGCTGTTTGCGCAGGGCCTCCCAGGTTTATGCCTCCCAAAGTGTTGGGATTACAGGCATGAGCCATCACGCCCGGCTTAGTTAGTCCTTTGTATTCAGGAATGACAATCTCAAACACTCCCAGTCTCCTTGGTATTTTTTGTTACTTTGCAAACCAATCCTAACCTGCAGAGAGAGGGAATTTTCAGGCACCTACCAGGTTCCAGGGACTATGCCAGGGCTCTCGTTGTTGTACTGTTTAAGCAGATGGTGTGGGTATCACTGATCTATTTTATAGACAGGGCTGTGAGCCTGCAGGAGGTTGTACACCTGCCGACTGGTAGAGTTAGGTTCTGAACTGAGGACTTCCCGCCTGAAACTTAGTGGTCTCTTTGACACTTTGGTGATGTTGGGAAACTATTTGCGGTGACAATTCCAGGCAGCTTTATATAAATTATTTATTATTTACAGAGAAGGAGAGTTTTATTTATTTAAGGTGTGGCTGTAACTGAGGTCGGAGTTCAGCATGGGGTTGGTGGCTTGGCCATTGGAACCAGCCCCATGCTGAACTGGTTCAGTGGTTTCTACTGGAGGGTGATTAAGCACAAGAGACTTCTTAGGATGGTCAGGGAGCCCCCGGCACCCCTGCTGGTGTCAGTGCCGAGATCAGAGCATGGGGCCTGCGTAAAGGGAAGCTCCAAGGAGGGATCAGGGAGCTGGGGTCCAGAGGGAGGTCACCAGCAGTCCCTGGGCCTCCTTCCTTCCTTCCTTTCCCCCCTCCTTCCTTCCTTGTTTCCTTCGCTCTTTCTCTGTCTTTCTTTCGACATGGCCCAGGCTGGAGCACAGTGCTATGATCTCGGCTCACTGCAACCTCCACCTCCTGAGTTCAAGTGATTCTCCTGCCTCAGCCTCCTGAGTAGCTGGGATTACAGGCACCGGGCACCACACCTGGCTAATTTTTTGTATTTTTAGTAGAGACAGGCTTTCGCCATGTTGCCCAGGCTGGTTTCGAACTTCTGAGCGCAGGCAATCTGCCCACCTCGGCCTCTCAAAGTGCTGGGATTATAGGCATGAGCCACCATGCCCGGCCACCTGGGCACATTTCCAAGCCACCCCCAGCCCCTGCAGCATTTCAGTTTCTGCTGGGCTGCTATTGTTACTTGATCCAGCACTTTTGGGCTCCTGCTAAGAGTGTGTTAGTGTATCTTTGAGGGCAGGTAAGGGGCAGGTCCTGGGGTCTGGACCAGAGAGCTTCCTGTAGATCTTTCTCTCTTGGCTTCCTGCCATTTCTTCCACAGGTGGCAGTGGTGGGAGTGAGAGTCAGGAGGAGGAAGAGCCTCAGGAGGGGAGCAGCAGTCCACAGCAGCCAGCAGTCTTGGCTCCAGTGGGGGCCAGTGAAATCGCTGAGGAAACCCAGCCAGGACAACAGGAGTTGCAACTGCAGCAGTTAGAACAGCAGCCCAAACCGCAGCAACAGCCACAGCAGGAGCAACTGCAACAGCCGCAACCACACCTAGAACTGCAACAACAGCTGCAGCAAGACGGGCAACAACAGCTATCTCAACTACAGCAGGAAAAACACCAATCCATGCACCATCAGGAACTGAAACCTGAACTGCAGCTAACGCACCAGCAGCAACAGGTGCAGCCACAGCAAGTGCAAGAGCAACAGCTGTTACAGCAGCAGCAGGAGCAGTTGCAACCACAGCAGGAGCCGTTACAGCCACAGCAGGAGCCATCACAGCCGCAGCAAGCACAAGAGCAACAGCTGTTGCAGCAGCAGGAACAGCTACAGCAGCAAGTGCAAGAGCAACAGCTGTTACAGCAACATCAGGAACAGTTACAACAGCAGCAGCTGCTACAACAGCAGGAACAATTACAGCAGCAACAGTTTCAACAGCAGCAGGAACAGCTACAGCAGCAGCAGCAGCAGCAGCAGCTACTGTTGCTGCAGCAGCAGGAACAGTTACAGCAGCAACTGTTGCAGCAACAGCAGGCACAGTTACAACAGCAACTGCTGGAACAGCAGCAGGCACAGTTACAGCAGCAGCTACTGCTGCAGCAGCAGGAACAATTAAAGCAGCAGCAGCAACAGCAGCTGTTGCAACAGCAGCAGGAACAATTGCAACAGCAACAATTGCAGCCTCCTCCCCTGGAGCCCGAGGAGGAGGAAGAGGTGGAGCTGGAGCTCATGCCTGTGGACTTGGGGTCGGAGCAGGAGCTGGAGCAGCAGCGGCAGGAGTTGGAGCGGCAGCAGGAGCTGGAACGGCAGCAGGAGCAGCGGCAGCTGCAGCTCAAACTGCAGGAGCAGCTGCAGCAGCTGGAGCAACAGCTGGAGCAGCAGCAGCAGCTAGAGCAGCAGCAGCTGGAGCAGCAGGAGGTGCAGCTGGAGCTGACTCCGGTGGAGCTGGGCGCCCAGCAGCAGGAGGTGCAGCTGGAGCTGACCCCGGTGCAACCGGAGCTGCAGCTAGAACTGGTGCCAGCCGCAGGGGGTGGCGGAGCGGCAG